AACCCTTCTGATTCTGATCCTGTTGTTATTTGGTGTAAAGCGAACTGTCTGTTGCTGCTGACTCTAGGTCAGATCGTCATTGTAAATGACAATTAGTTCTCAATAGACTGAAATGGTTAAATTAAGGTTGAATAAAAAATAAAACAAATAAATTATAATGTGGCACACAAGGTATGTCAGAGCAGGCATAGCCTAGTTAAGTTAATTGTTTCTCAGATATGTAAGTTTATCATCAAGGAAAGCTGAAAGCTCTTGAATTGAGAAGACAAGTGGAAGTAGACCACCACCACTCAACGCTAAATTCAAAATTTTATTTTGTAAAAAACCCAAATGAGTGACGTATCTGGAGCTTTTCTGTTTTCTGATTGGATTTTCTTGCTGTCAGTTTTCGCTGTCTTTTTGTCGCCAAAAATGTTTATAAATTTCTGTCAAAAGTTTGTTTCTTTGGAAGTTGTTTTTTTTTCGTGAATATTTGTTAAATTCATTTGTCCCGAAAAATAAAAAAAAAAAGTTTGTCAACAAAATAACACTGTTGTACCATTCTATTTTATTCAGTTAGACTTGTTGACATTATTCAGAATTTCTTGGTTTAAATTGATCTATATTTGCATCTTCTGTGAGGCATTGAGGGCACTAGAGCTCACAAAGTCCCAGAAATGATTAGCAATAAAATTAACATTGTTCAGCCTGTCTAACCAGACTGCTTAAATGTTACACTATTAAGTTAGTTGAGTTGGCCACTTTCCAAGATTGCATTTGGTTTGAAATATTTCTCTAAATTGTCCAGTTTACACTGATCCAATGCTGATAAGCACAGTGTAAGCTTTATTGTGTAGAAATAGCATCAGTCATTATCTCAATTCATCATGGATGGATAACAGTGATTCCAATAGTCTTTAGAAAATGTTTTGGGAACAATCCATTGAAAACTGAGTTGAGTATCGGCAGTGGTCATCTATGCTTGTGATCATAGTTTTAACCAGGATCAACCAAGTGAGCATTCACAGGCCATATGTCTGTGTAGGTCAATAATACATGGCACAGAAATCCTGAGTGCATCAATAGAAGATAACTCGAAACAATTGTTGCTTTCAATTCAAGCATTTTGGTTTAACGACTGTAGTCACTCTTCCTATTAAACATATTGATAACTTTGGTTTCTTTGTGAAACCGTCCATCCTCCAAGTTGCTGCATTGGCTTTTCAGGCAAAGATAATTAAGAGGATAAAAATCAAACAAGAACATCCAGAAATGTTTCTAAAAATAGCAATGATCTGCCTGGTTTGCAGAAACTCCATCATGCTGCAATACAACATAGATCTCTGCAGAACAAAGACACTTAGTCTTGGTGTCTGCAGTTAACCGGGCTGTAAATTTGCAGGTATTTAAGAGAATCTCTTTCACGTGCAAGCTGTGAGACTTTGGAGCTATTTGGGTGGAATCCTTAGTGAAAATAATATACTGCGCTCATTTTGAGTGAAGTGTAGGTAGAACAAGGGTAGGTTCAGTGAAACCGACCTGTTGTTGGAGCAGCGCAGCATGTCCTCCAGCTCCAGGGGAAACAATATCAGTCATTGTCAACAAAACAAGACAGTAGAGATTGCAGCTTCCTGAACTTTGTCATTGCTGAGTGAGTCAAGTAGGACACAATCCAGATACTGATGGGGACCGCATAATAGTCATGAAATAGTGTCATAAAACAGTGAATTGCGAGGACTTACTTAGATGCAGATCTGAAGCGGCAATATAAGGAACCATCAAGTCTTGAATTTTACTGCTCAACAGGAAGGATTCTCCAGCAACGATGTTCAGGACAAAATAACCAGAACAAAGATGCACAAAGAGCTGAACAGGCTCATTTGAGCAGACTATAGACACTGGGACAGGGGACTACACTTCGCACATTGGATGGGGGCAGTATTTGAGAAAAAAATAGTATTAAACAGGTCGGCTAATTTTGTTGTTTTCTCTTCATTCCTAGTCAGGACATGTATAGTTTTGGGGTCATTGTCTTATTGATTGCTATTTTGTGCTATTTGTTGAAAACACACAATACTTCAGAAGGTCTCAAACAAAAGTCTCATTTACAATTTATGCAAACACATTGAAACATATTAAGGAGGTACAAGATGGTGTTGCTCCTTACATCGAGGTGTATCTTGAATTGCTCCAGAGCTTTCTTCCTTACTGCCTGCAACCTTTTCTGGATTAAGTCTGACTAATAGCCAGGGACTAAGCAGGTGAGTGACATATCGGTCGGCTCGTGCTATTTTGTGCTGAGTAAAGATTGTGCTGGTTCTTCTATAGAATTTTGAGGGGCTAACCCTATTGGTCTGTTTAGGGTGCACCTTTTAGATTAACCCTAACCCTAGCTAAGAATTCTAGACGCACAGTAGCCATGCTCGGCATGTAGCCACACTCCATAGGAGCCTCAGCTGGTCTACCATTGGTCTGAGCAGTATTGTTATGGTCAAAAAGCTATATCGGTGTGGTGGGAGTTATGCGGAACAACAAAGATGGTGGTGGCTCATTTGAAACGACTTTGGCAACAACTTCAGACTATTTAGACCTGGGCTTTTATTTGAGTTGAGCAGATGGAGGTACTTGGGCCCTTTATTTAGAAAAATTACATATTTCTTTAACGACTTATGGAGAATTGCCTTGTCGATTAACATCCGTAGCTTTAATTGCATCATGTTGTTAGTTGTCCAATAGCATACTGAGACACTTAAGGTGGTTTTCCAGGAGCACTACTCAGAGCATCTCGAACCGACGCAGCTCGGCCTGACCACTGTTTACTCCCTTTACTTTCTCCCCTATTTTTAGTCCCTGCTCCGTGTAAATACCTGGAAATATTCGGGCCAGCATCGTGATTCTGGCCGCTAGGGGGCGGAGTCACTGGATGTTCTGGAGTTTTTTGCATTCTGTTTCACTGCCTGCAGCCATTTTCTGGTTCAGAGTCTGACAAAAAGCAAAATGCCCAGCAACACCAACATTTTTCATCTGAGTTGTGTTTCTGTGGAGCATACAAGTTACCTTGCACTGTTTACAGATCCCTTCATGCTATTTTGTCACAAGTAAAAATCGACTGAGCTCTTTCCAAGGTTCATGGCACAGAATACATGTTCACAGGCTACAAAACTACTATTTTAATAGACTATGCAGAATGACCTTAATTTTACTACAGAAAATACAAATAGACTTGAAAACACCTGTAATATTCTTTTCTTTAAGTGTTGTTTGGTCCCTGCATTGAACATCTTTGTAAGAGGGAAAAAAAAACATGTGACAAGTCTTGCCACAACATAATTAGGAAAACTTCTGTTTGAAACAGGTCATCAAGTCACCAACAATTCAGAGCCTGTTTATGTTGTTCGTTCACATCCTCATTACTTAGATTCCATCAGAAGCAAAGAATCTGTCGGTAGGCATTACCTCACACTAAGACAGAACAGTTCTGCAAACGCTTCACTGAGACGCATCTACATAAAATAGGTGGATGAGTCATTTTTTTTCTAAGCCTAGCCTCATGTCTGTCATTCAGATAAATAATACTAGTTAAGGTAAACAATGTGTGAATGCTCCGGAATCGTTCGTCACATATGACATCCAGAAATAACGTTCTCACAGCAACTGATTTCACAAACAGTTGTGTTCAAAAGTTTACGCATCATGGGTGTGAATGTCATTGATTTGGAGCTTTCAATGAATCATTTGAGTTGCACTTTCTCCAGGCTGCATTGATCATATAACATAAAACTTCAGTGACTTTTAACACGGTGATTGAGTGCTCAACTTTGGATTCATTGTGATTTTTCTTTCTTCACACATCACAAGTGCTGTCTTGATAGATAGATAGATAGAAAAGCACTAACATTAGGCTTTTGGAGTCACTGTGAAAAAAAAAAAAAAAAAAAATATATATATATATATATATATATATATATATATATATATATATATATATATATATATATATATATATATATATAATTATTGGAAAATTCAACTGATATCAGGAAAATAAGTGGTTTAAATGGACTGGACAAATACTGCCAAGAAGACAGGTCCAAAAAAATGTATTAATAATAATTAAAAAGTATTAAAATAAATAAATACATTCTATCTATCTATCTATCTATCTATCTATCTATCTATCTATCTATCTATCTAGATAGATAGATAGATAGATAGATAGATAGATAGATAGATAGATAGATAGATAGATAGATATGTATACATATATACATTTTGTTCTCCTGTTATGCTTAGAGATTTTAGTTAAATCACATTTTTCCAAAGCAGCTTTATAAAGTATGATTGCATTTTGATATATCAATATCGACTGATATGACAATTATTACCACGATAAGATTTCTCTCTGTATCACCAAGTCCTATACCTACAAGTCAGTTTTGTTATAGGACATTTACCAAAAAGCCTCTGCTGCGCTAATCCAACGATGAAAATAAAGTAAAATCAAATGTTTCCATAGTTGTGGAAGTAAAGCACATGCCTTTTTTTTCTTATGTTGCTACATGTTTGCAAATGGCCTTAGTGTTTAAGGTCAAGCCCTTTCTGAACTCATGAATATTTTCCTAAGTTTCAATATATCGATAAAGAAGTTTTTACCACACTATGTGAATGCGCTTTTAAAACAAGCGTCTACTCCTTGTCATTGATTTTGTGTTTGTGGAATGTAGATGTATTAGTAGAGTGTGGCGTCTTGCTCAACACTACTCTATTACAGCCCATCTGTTGACGTTTTGGTTAGAGGATGACCTCTCTTTATCCGCAGAACACCAGAAACCTCAAACCACCAAAGGGGAAGTATGGACAGACCTGGTATAGAACTATATATCTAAACTGATTTTTAGCAGCAGAAGTTAACAGGGTTTGTTTCTACCTTTTCATCCAAAACTGACAAATTACATTTTTATAGATGTAGTTGACAAATGTCTTTCATTTCATTTATTTATTTGTAAAGCCCTTTACTGCTGTCAATCAAGACCACCTAAAGAGTAGAACACCAACAATGCACATAAAATCATACCTGAACATGAAATCATTGGATAGTATACAATCAATCATGAGAACTGACAACTTATGCAGTGACAAAAATCAGATAAAAATACATGTAGACCTAAAAACAGCTAAAACAAATAGTATGCATGTAAAACGTAAACAAACATGAAATATTGTGACAAATCACAGATGATCCTGCAGCATCTAAAAAGGCCAAAACCCTCGTCAGCTTAGAACTAGGATATTCACCTTAATATCAGCAAAATTAGGAAATATAGCATCTGGAAAACTAACAATGGTAAATTAACAGCGGGACCATTAAAACTCAATCAGATCGGTAATATTGCCTCAAATTAGCTTTAAAAATCCAAACTGAGGAACAACACCTAATATCCAGTGGGAGCTTATTCCACAGTTTAGGCGCCAGAACCGAGAACACTTTGTCTGCCCGTGACTTGCATCTAGTCAAGAGTCAAGAGTCAAGAGTCATTTATTGTCATATTCTCCACATGTGCAGGACATACAGAGAAATGAAATTCAGTTTCAGCACACACAATTCAAAGATCAGACATACGTGGGTAAGACACATAACAAGAATTGGTGACTGCGGTCATTCGCAACATGAGTCGCGCTACCTTAATAGTTAGATGAAAAGGGTGTTACATGAGGAAAGTTCAGGGAGGGGAAAAAAAGGCATTAACAGGGTTACACCAGCAGGGTGTAGCACTCCAATGCAAAAAAAACACCCGACATGGAAGCACAGACAGCACGTGTACAACATCAGAGTCCAATGGGGAGGTGGGGGTGGGCGGGATCCTGAAGCCTCCAATGGGAGCTGCCACTGTTCCGATTGTGTTTCACCGTCTTCTTCCTCTTCACGATCATCTCATAGAGTTTCTCCAGGCCCGCCTGCAGCCCCTGACCGTCCACGGCGCTGCAGCCCTGCACGTGGTACAGCGTGTACATGCTCAGTTCATGTACGGAGAGCAGCTTCTCCACCTCGCTGACGGACAAGGCTGAGTCTTGGTCCTGCTTGTTAGCCAGGATGAGAACAGGAACCCCCTGGTTCTCTGAGGTGCGGGTGATCTTATGCAGCTCCACTTTGGCCTCCTCCATGCATTTCCTTCTTGAATCTTTAAGTTCAGCTTCCAAAGTGCAGCCACAGGACTGCACCGCAAGACCGTCAATGCTGCCTCCGTATTGTGAGCAAATCCATTTCCGCTGACCCCAAGGCAGTTTGTAATTGTTGGCACAAATCACTCTCCCGTAAAAAAAAAAAAAAGAGGACCATTAAATCGTGGAAGTGTCCCAACATCGAGCAAAACTCCTCGGGTTACGCTGAGAGTTCATCTCTTTCTGCGGCGCATCGACCAGCTGCAGAACAACAGGTGGGAGGGAGAGATAAGGAACAGAGAGCACATTGAGGTCCCTGCAGATATAGCCTGAAGGGAGAGGGTGAAGGTCGGGACACAGCATCTGTCGGCATTCCTCCTTTTGTGGGGGTGTGTTGAGGCAGCCTTGAGAGGCTGCTATGGCGTCAGATAAGGATAAAACATAACTTTGTTTAGGGTAGACAGAGATAATCTTCCCCTCCGTCTTGTAGTCTCTAAGTGGTCATTCATGTCCACCAGTGAAGCCAATTTTACATTCCACATCCCCGCATCGTCCGGCGACCCTCTCCGAGATCAAATCCATCTTGCGCACTAACACAGGCAACGCCGTAAGGACATTGTCCAGCTTACGGTTCACCTCGAGTAACGTCCCAGTCTGTGAGGTCACCGCACGAGCGGCACATTCCGTGGGTACGGGTCGCACTCCAATCGCTCCCGTCTTCCCAAATTTCCAGAAAACCAGATATCCTCCCACTCCAATCAGAAGAAATCCAGTGATCATTAGGCTGAATATCCACAAATCTTCCACGTCCTCGATGGACAGCTGAGAGAGGCACACGATTCGCCAGACCTCCCAAGAATCGAGTGCATATCCCGATGCGAATGTCCCCTCGGGACAGGTGGGAGCCCCCTTCTCCGTTCTCATCGTAGAGAAAATTTTGTCAATCACGTTGAATGACCAATTAATTAAGTCCATATTTCCAAAAAGAGAGTAGTGGTTTCAGGAGAAATGCAGAGAAGTGCTCTGTAGGCAGACAGGACAAGAGCCTTGGGAAAGCCGATAAGGGAGCTGAGAAAAAAGCGTCTGTACTCTCTGAAGGCTGGAGAAGACCTTGGAACAACCACCAAGTCTTTGAAAGATGAGCGGAGGGAACAAAGTACTCAAAAATTGCATTCCCGTGGATTTTTGACCTTAATGATCGAGTGGTAAGGTCTTACCCGAACACAATACTGCTTGCTTGCAATGCTTTAGGTATGTACTGCCCCCTATCGCCAGTGAAAATGCACACCGTTACTTTAAAATGTGTTTCCATCCATTAAAACATAATACACCCTCCCAGACGTAACACCCCATCACAAGAACAGCAGCACAGCCTTCTCGTGGAGCCTTGAAAGACCTTGGCTTTCACTGTGAACCAGGTGCAGCAACTTTTGTAAGTTTCTGTTAACAGCATGCAAATATAACAGCAGGTCGGCTAATTGTCTCTGCAACCTTTACCCACCAGAGTCTGCATGCACCTGCTTTATAAAAATGTTTAGCATTACATCTACAGCTACGCTGATTTTGTGCACATTTTGTTTGATAGTTTTCTAATGTGAAACTTTGGAGATTTTACGACAAGCCGTTATCCTATTTAGCAAACCACTACCTTAGTAAATAACTAATCCTTCCTTGTAAATATGACATGTTCAAGGATTCTTCTGTGCAGCATTTAGAGAAGTGGGAGGAAAATGCTCATAAATAACAAACATGAGTGAGTGGATTCTCCTCCCAAGGGGACAGAGTTGCATCTCCAGAATTAATTAGTTGGTATGAGCAGACAGACATTATAGATTTTGGGAAAATTGAAAATAAATGCAAATCACCCTCAACGTGACCAGTTTTTCATCTCTTTCAATTATACCGTGATAGGTTTACAATACTGATATCAAAAGTAATAACTCTCTCATAAGCAACAAGCCCATTTATATCAAGCTGCTCATTGACTCACTGCAGGGGTTGATTAGTTATTATTAAAACATGAGAAAAAAAGTCTAAATCTGCAGAAGTTAGAAAGTTACTTTTAAATGCATTTATGTTGTTACTGGGCGTGCCATTCAACACTGACAACAAAACCTGCCTCAAAGAACAAAGCAAAAGATAACCAAGCCTTCGAGCTCTGGCTTTTTACCCAGCATCTGTGGGATATGCTAAAACATGTCAGATGTGTTGACGCTGCTAAAACAGCACTGACCTGTAGCGACATGGCCCTTGATGTTACGGTGTAATATCTGCAACAAGGACAATAGAGTTCGGGTTAGAACCTCTGTGAATCAGTCTTGTGCTGGTCCACCGAAATGATAAGGAAAAGTCCGAACTGAGTCCTCCTCTTCTCCCTCTTACAACTTGAAATAAAGATGTAGGGTTTGTCTAGCCTAGAAAGCCATCACCTAACCACACACACACGTGTGTGTGAGTGTGCGTGTGTGAGTGTGCGTGTGCATGTGCGTGTGTGTGTGTGTGTGTGTGTGTGTGTGTGTGTGTGTGTGTGTGTGTGTGTGTGTGTGAATATATAGTCTGGACTGCTCGCAGTCGTGGGGAGCGATTGGACAACAAACAGCTTGGCATACTCACCACTACAGATCTCGATACATTGTCGAAAAATTTGCAAATATATCCATTTTCTAAATAAAGGGCTTCAATACTTTTTTCTGCTCTTGACTCAAATAAAAGCTCAAGTATAGTCCAACATTGATGCTGCTTTAAATGAGTCATCACCATCTTGATTTTGCTCAGTCGCAGTAACGTCCTGCCCACCAAGCCGGTAGAGCGCTGTGATCGGCCCACCAAATCGATAGGAGCGCTGTGATTGGCCCACCAAATCGATAGGAGCGCTGTGATTGGCCCACCAAACCGGTAGAGTGCTGTGATCGGCCCACCAAACCAATGGAGTGTTGTGATTGGCTAACCATCAGACTGGCTGGGGCTGTAGAGGTTCCAATGGAGTGTGGCTAGAGCCACATGCAGAAGAAAATAATTTTGCTTCAGCAACTGACGGTCTAGATTTCTAGGCTAGGGTTTTATCTCCATTTTGAAGACATATCAATTCAAACAGAAACATTTTAATGGAAAATATGTATATTTGTATGAATAATGTATTTTTTTTTTCTTGTTTGTTAAAACAATATTGATATATCCCTAAAAATTGAGGATAATGGCAACGCTGACATGGAACAGGAGCACCATGGAGATGCTAAGCTGGCTCTGATGCTGAGGAGGGTTGGAGAACAACGTAAAACTCCACCACCAGCCGTGACAGCTGCATCCACTGAGCTAGGGATGAAAACTGAGGCCCCAGTAAACACTGTCAACCGTCAAGCTCCAACTGAAGAGATGCTCGCATTAAACACAGCTTGGCTCACTATCCCCTCATGACCATCATGGAACCAATGAACCCTTATTATTCACTGCAGCAGTAATCCTGGAAATACTTGCATATAAAACTCAAAAGATGCTGCTTGCAGAGACGTTCTTCTGTCGACTGGAAGGTCGCACAGATGAATGGTTGTTAGCTTGTGGAGATGCAGAAGAGAGTCATGGGAGACAATAAAATTACTGGAATGAGATTTGAACATATAAAAAGGAAAAAGCAATCCCAACAAACCACCAGATGCTCATTTGATTCAAAGACTAACGTCGTCTACTTGATTACACTCAGGTGTGAGCATCAAGGTTGCTGCTGGAGGGTGAACACGTGTCATTTACGGCTCTGAGTGTTTTCTGTTGTCATACCGTGTTGCACATTGCTTCTGCTCTGTTGCAGATGCAATCTAGAAACATATTTTTTTTTTACAAAGAATGAAAACAGCAGAACAAAAAAAGATGATACCGCTTCAAATGGACATATAATCAATGGACTCTTTTTCAAAAGCTGCAGATTCTAAACATATTACATTTTTAAGATCTAGGACATTTATATGTTTTGGGTTCATTCATCCTGCTGACTCAGAGGCAGACGTGTCTCAGCTTAATTTCACTTCCCATGATGACTGTGTTGAACTGGATGAATGCCTACAACTGAGTGAATAGTTTTCTGAATGAAATCCTGCCATTAAGTAGAAACATCAGACAGCCATGATAAAAACTATTGCTTCATCAGGAAAACCAACTTTAGGCCATTTGTTTTGGGTTTTTAATCCATTCAGCCTCACACTGAAAACATAGCAGACTTGCAACCCCAACAATGACATGGCCTCAAAGACCTTTGAGTGTATTCATTGAGCACTACTGTTTCCATAGTGTCCAAGGGAGATAGAATGACAGCAACTGGACTTTTTTTGATCAACATGTTCTCACACCCGAAGCGTTGAAAAATGACGCTGGGTGACCAAGTGTTTGTTTCCAGCGCGTCAAGGGCGCTGTTCCAGAGCATCGTTTTCCGATTGTCGTAGTAAAACAGACATTTCACCAAATTCTGACCTTAACCCTCTTGCTACCTTCCCCTCACCCCCATCCTAACCTTAACCCTCTTGAGCTTTCAAAACTTTGTTTCTAGTTATAACGTCCCTCTCCAACTCGGTTAATGAGAAGTTTAGAATGAGCCACACAGTTAAGGTTAGGATGGGGTAAAGGGAAGGTTAAATAGCAAGAGGTTAGAGGTTAACTGTTGCTAAAATGTACATTTTGCCACGGGCATTGCCTCCCGTCGGACAAAAACGCTTGGTCACCCAGTGTCATTTTTCGACACTTCGGGTGTGAGAATGTGTTGCTTTGGTTCTTTGGCCTTCATTCAAACCCCTTAAGATTACCATGATCTGGATGACTGAGAACCTTCACCAGCATATTCCAATAGTGTCCAACAAATATGCCATTTAATTAAACATGATTTGGTTTGGGATCATCGCAAGACCAAACAGATTTTTCATATCCCACAGCGAGGTTCCATCACAATCTTTAGGAACCATTGTTTTCAGATGATTGGGTTTCCCAAATCCACCCTGGTAGAGACAAAGCAAGAGCATAATGACAACACAAATGGCTTCAATGAGCAACGTATCATTTTTCTCCATTTAGCACAAGTTTCAACATTATGTAATTATGAATTGTAATGGATTCATGGACCCTTAGAAACACTTTGTTTCATAATACATTGGAGTAGGGAAGTAAGAAAATACCATTGCACTGAAATATCGTGATATTTCATGTTATGATAATGAATCGATATATGAAAGGAGTGTATCTATTTTTATTTTTTATTGAGTATTGATATGCAAAAAATGACTTTTTTCTATTGCATGCTGCAATTCAAACAATGACTGCTAGGTGGCAGCAGTTTTTACTAATACTTTATTCTGACTAACAAGATCTGGCAAACACTGGATAAGATTTTCCCAAATAAATTTAGTCTTAAAAATTGCAGACATAGTTTGGCTTTTAACATCACAATATATCGTATTGTATCCCTTGTATTGTAATACTTGATCGTCTCCCCTGTATTGATATATCAGATCATCTCCCCTATATCGTGATATACATCAAATCACAAGATTCTTGCCAACACACGGGCCTAGATTTGGGTTTTAACCCAACATTTGGAGCTGATGCTCTAGATAAATAATTCCAAGACATCATTATTGAACTTCATGGCTTCAAACTTTCAAAATACAATTTACTACTACTTCTTGGAATATGGTTGCAATGCTAACAGTGGGTTATTATAATATGTTTTTTTTTTCTTTCTCCATCATGTTGCTCATAATACTTTCTGGGCTTTAGTATTCTACTATTCATCTAATCCATCTGTGATTACCCAGGCCTGTGTATTTTCTTCCTTTTCTTTTCAGTTTTGATGCTCTGTGCAAACCATAGTGTCTCCTGATTTCCCCCTGAGGTCCCAAACCCCCAAACTAGGGACCCAATACTGTATTTTTCCCCTTGCTATAGTGCATAATCATTTTAATGCTGCACCATTGCTGCAACTTTTAAAGTGAATTCAGTTGGGCCAGTAATTTCATTGTATCTTTGCTTCAAGATGTTTGGTTTTACACTTTTTATGTGATATTGAATTCTACGATCCACTCTACAGTTCTTTGTGCACATGGAATGGTTCTCTGTAGTCAAATCATTTTCATTGTCCTGCCTTTCTTTACATTCCAAAAACACATGGATCCTTGAGCTGTCAGTTAACTTGACTTTTGTGCCACTTGTTGATTTTGTCATTCATCTTCAGGCTGCATTCAATGCTGCATTAACCCTCTGGGGTCCATGGACGCATATCCGCATCTTTTGAACAGGTCTGATTTGGGACGCTATAGCAGCAACATTCCACCTCCCTGAGTTTCGGTTTCAATTCAGCTTTAAAAAGGAGATTATAAACTACACCCCAGTTTTTAAATTTTGTTAATAGGCAACGTAAACGCGGAGTTATACTAAACTAAAAAACGACCTATTTTTAGACAATCTGATAACTTGTCAAAACAGCAAATTAGTAAACCGTGAGAGGGAATGTGCTTGTGAACATAAAAAAAACACAAAAACATGAGATCCTTTGCTGTTGGTGGAAGTCTCAAATATTCAATTGATAAAAAGCATCATTATATAGCTGAGAGAGACAGAGGAAAAGGAGCCACTTCGCGGGGAAAGGAGTGGCGCGAACGGAGTAACAACAAACAATTAGACAGATATTGACGGTAAACTTCATATTTTGGAGCGATCCGGACAGATATATAGTCTCTGCAGTTTAGTAGGCTTTTATTAGGCTTATATAAAGGATGATGAGAAGGAGAAATGTCCACCAGGCAGTTCAGATAGTACGGCTGTTTTTTGAACTGGAAGCAGAGGAAGTGGACGGAGACTCACAGCTGGAGTCTGAGGCAAACAGCGAGGATGTTGATGACGATGTGGCAGATTCATCCTTCCTCATAGAAGAGTTGGGTCATGATGAGGTAGAGGATGAAGGAAGAGATCCAGCTCTTCGGAGATCCAACAAGAGGAGTGGGCGGTGCCGCGCAGCTGTCGGATCTCGATCTGCTCGGCGTGAGACAGAGCCACTCCCAACTCCAAAATGCATGTACATTATTGCCAAATTAATAAAGTAAGTATAAATTCAGACAGTATAGGTTGTCCTGAAAAAAATGACACCCCATAAGGCAATATTTATTGTTTTTATTAGAAAATACAAAAGAAAAACCAAAAGAGTCAAAAACGGTGATTTACACCCTGGACCCCAGAGGGCTAATAAATATTTTTTTAATTTTTTTTTCTATATTTATTCATATTTTTATAAATGTACAGTCTAGATTACCATTCTAAATTATAAAAAACATTTGTCATAAATGTTTGTTGGTTTCCGTTCCGTTACAACAGTAAAATAAACAACTTTCAGATAATAAACTTACAATTCCGATTTTATGTTTTTGAGTGATTTAAGGTCTATTATGCAACCTCTTTATATCAAAATATGAAAAATAAGTATAGATTCATAAAGTCCAGGTTGTGCTGAAAAGACTGATTCCACATAAGGCAGTGGTTATGGTTTTTATTTTGGAAATACAAAGGAAAACTCTACATTTGTCAAAAACGGCAAATTACACCCTGGACCCCAGAGGGTTAAACCTATTTTGCTTTGTTGATTTAAATTGATCACCTTTTCATAAAAACATAAAATAACATGTTGCCCTTTCCATGATCCCCAACAGCTGCAGAGATGAACACTACTGTGGCTTTTTCCTCCCTCAACCTATGAAATAACTCCCATTTCTCCAGCTTCAGTATTACATTTACACTTGCAGAAATGATGAATTTCACATGGTCATACATGCTTTTATGATAATTTAGGTCTGTGGAATGTGCCTCGTTTTTACTTTGATGACATCAAAAATTAATCAGAATGCAACCTTCCCAAAAAGCGGGTTAATTTACTGAACAGGAGAGAAATGTTGAACTACTTTCAGTCTCACTTCACCTATTTTCAGACTCATATCTACCACATAACTTTACATTTAAGAATCACATTGCTCGTTTGGCTTTCAAGTGTCAGGATTTTTATGAATTAATTTTTCAGTAAGAACCCAAAGGCATTTCAGGCTGACACCGAATGCTGAGTTTGTCATCACAGCAGCCAGGCAACACATGTAATTTTATCTTGGTGAAAGATGGTAGCTCCATTCAGGTTTACTCCTTCTCATAGTGAAGACAATGATTGCCTGTGCTGCTTTCCCCTTTGGTAATTGTCTTTTGATTGAGGTCATCAGGACAATTAAAACCATTGAGGGATGAAAAGTGGTAGCAAGCGACTTCAGACAGCTATGCTAGTTGGTGGAGGGGTTGAATGATGAGCGCAGAAGAGATAATTATGTGTAAAGAGACCTATTGAAGTCAGGAGACAATGTACAGAAATGATGTCTACTTCTTTATCATAAGCTCCTAATTGCATGTCAATGAAACTTTGAATTTAGTTGGAGGGTGTCATTATTTAGTACAACTCGGTTTTGTCTTGCTGTCTTTAGATCACAGGTTATCTTGCACAAATCAGGAATTTGGAGAGTAACAATGATGTGTGAACAAAACAGGTTAAATGTGACACTTCATTATCCACTATGGGGATTCAGTGGTGAGGAAAACAATGCTGTCACCCAGTAAAAACATTATTTGATTTTTTTACATCTAAAACCACATTTTCAAAATGGTAAAATTCTAAAAAAAATTAAACTGCAATAGCAAATCTTCAGAACAAGATTAAAACATTGTTTAATGCCTCTTAACAACGTTCTAACATAGTACAGCTATAAATGTAATGTGGAGATTTAAAAAAAAACTGTTGAAATAGTTCTCTTGCATTTGTCTAAAAGTCTTATCCAACACGGAACGAAAAAAAAAACGGATTGAATGAAAAGCAACTACTGGACCATTCAGTTGATTGTCTCACCAAATCACAGAACTTCAGCATTGACTTGAGTCTGATGTTCTCTGGGAGCTCAGAAGGAAGAGCAGGTTGCCCAGTAATCGGAAGGTTGCAGGTTCGTTCTGGCTCTGACCAGAGAATGCTGCTGTTGTGTCCTTAGACAAGGCACTTACCCCACCATGCCTGCTGGTGGTGATCGGAGAGATCGGTGGCGCCAGTGTTCACCAGTGTGCCCCAGGGCAGCTGTGGCTACATCGTAGCTCATCATCACCAACTTATGAATGTGTGTGTGAATGGGCGAATGACTGATTGTCTTGTAAAGTGCCTTGGGGGGTTGTAGAACCCTCAGAAAGTGCTATACAAATACAGGAAATTTGCCATATTCTTCTTTTACTATTAAATTAATAAAACTGGCCTTAAAATATAAATTCCCAAAATTTGTTTTTGTATGAAGTTTATTTAAGAATATGCAATAAAAAAGTAACAAACAGACAAAAAACAAGGTTTTATATCAATGAAAATGTAAGCATTAATATAATTACCATTCTATTGTCCAGCCCTACTTGTTTGAGTTCATCAATTCATGCTCCATAAAATTCTAAGCATGGTTTGTGCATGGAAAGTACATAATAAATTGTGATGGTTCCAATTACAATGAATTTCCTCACTTGTAATTAAACATGTAGACAGTGCAATATTTTAGTATAACAAAATAAACTATTCCTAAAATAAGATGTTAAGTTATTTTTCTTAATACAGAATAACACCCACAGCAATGCGGCCGAAATGCTGGTTTCTAAATGTTTACTATCGCAGCCTTGAAATCCAAAAAGCGTCTCTAATCTTTATCCTAGAATGCTTACATTAAAACACTCTAGAAGCAAAAGCTAAAAGGGTCTCCTTTCAACAAATGTCCTCACTTCACTGATCAAAATATAGTCCAGTCCTCACAAAGAGGACTTTACAAGTGCACACCCACACACCCATTTAAAGCTTCTGAAACATTGAACTTTAATTTATGCTTGGCAGAACATGGTTTCCATGTGTCACGCAATTATGTCTCAAATGAGCTCTGCTGAAAATTGAAGTTTAATGAGTGTGTGATCAGGCACATGAGGAGACTCTCTTAAAAGTCATTGTTGGATCTCTTACTATGCTGGTCAGCGCAGTTAATACATGCATTGCCACTGGTGGCGTTTGCAAAATGAATTAATCTGCCAACAAAAAACTGAAGCAACAATTTATGTTTTTTTCTTAAATGTGATAAACATGGTGTTAGAAAACCAGTGTTTTCTCTGTAATTCAACATGCTACATTTACAAATTAGTCAATTTGCCATGGCAAGCTACTATTACCTGATAATATTGTAAGTTAAAGTAACATTTAAATTAGGTTGAGTGATTATAGCCTCAAAATTATGGCACCCAATTACAAGGAGACTTATGATAGTTATATGTAAAAAAGAAATAGCAAAAAACAAAGCATTATGTGACTAAAGCTTGCAAATCGTTACATATATATATATATATATATATATATATATATATATATATATATATATATATATATATATATATAAAACTTTTAATATCTATAATCTAGCATGTAAGACCGTTAATCTGTTGCTGTAATTCTGCATAATTTCCCATCAACTAATGAATGCATTAGGTACATTAATGTGTTACGTCATATTTTATGTTGAAATCTAACATTTAAACCCTCCCACTGTCTTCATTGCAGTGGGAGGCTTAAAATCATATAAACTGTTTTAAAGGGTTTTAAAGGCAGTTTGGGCTTGCTTTTAGCACCCCCTAGTGTCCATTTGCAGAACCAAAAGTAAATTCTCCTTGCTGTGTGTTCATCTTTTTAACACCTTAATCCAACAGCTGAAACATCTCCCCAGCTTTCCATTATGTCTACAGGAGTGATTCATCACTGTATTAAACTAATCAGCTGAATTCATAATCTAACATGCAGGAAATGTGCTGGAAGCAGACTGCAGCGACAGGTATGTCAGCTCAAATTTTTTCTAAATCACAACAGAGCGGACACCAATCTGAAGTTCCAAGTGGAATATTCTGGCCACAGGGGACGTTGGGGGCTGGGTGACCTGTCATTAACCGTGTAAAGGGTCTTTTTTAACTCATACTGGCTCAAGAAAATCATTTAAAATTATGAAAAAGTTGCAAAGTACCCCTTTAATTTATAATGATATTTCTGAAGTCAGTTTAATGGTTATTTTTGAAGATGCCTTGTTTTACTGGATTTGCTCCACAATTTAACCAAATTACCACAAACCAGATGTTTTATTCCTCCTTTTTACTAAAACCAGATGGTCCGTACATTTTGTCTGCAGCTATTCTCTGAAAGTGGTTTGAAATTCAAAATCCAACTAATACTGATATCGCCTCATCCTTATCGATTACACAAATACAACAACACATCACAAGAAGATGTCTGTGTTTAGAACGACCTGCATGATAAACTCAGAGTGACTGATCATTTTCAAAAATAATAATTTAATAAACAGGTTCCACACCTTTTGACTTATTTCCTGCAGATCCTTGGAAAAACACCAAAAATCACTCAAAAGAATGCGTGCATAAATGCATATTGATGAACCTGCTTTTAAAAGCAGCAACGCCTAATCCGAGTAGTCTAAATCTTTTAAAGAAGAAAAGTATTATCAACCCAACTTGGGTTTGCTTTAAACATTTGTTTTCTGCTAATTGACAAAGCCAGAAGTGGAGATGCACATTTAGAAAGAAGAAACCAACTATTAGATGTGGTAAGTGAAGTAAAGGTCATATACACTAGAAAAGGATGACCTGATTTCCCCTGTTGAAATCATAGGGCAGAAGTTGCTATGGTAACTATAGAGTGGTCTGCAGAATGGTGGTAAAGGTGCATTTGGAAATCCCTGGCTTTCATAGAAGTGTCATGTGTTGCAAGAGTGTTAACTATCTTTAATGAGTTGTAAACATCCACAGATGGAAAGTGGAGCTAAATATGCACTGAAATGTTGCTGTAGGTGTTTCTGCAACATGCTCATTCTCTGTGAAATTTCTACGTTCCCATGGTGCGTTTGTGGCAATGATGCACAGAACAAATTCATTGCTGGTTTATTTCATAGTAATCCCCACAGTCTGGTGTCTAAGGTGATAAAATGCCTTAATTTCTTTAATGTAGATGCTATTTGCTGGTTATCATTAGTAACCGCATTGAGGATTTCCATCTGACACCATTTAATCCACAATCATTAATCCTAATTAAGAAATTATGAGGAATAGTTCAAGCAAATGTGATTAAAATAAATATGAGACTTGTGCACCACCATTAGGCAACAAAATCAATTTGGATTAAAGATTTAACTCATCATTAGAGATATTTGACAACAAAGCTGTTCATAAGGATTTGGCTCTCAGAGTGCAATGCATATCCTCTCTTAAAGACGCAAAGCTGCCCTGAATGAAAGTGTTTCTACACAGATGAGCAGCTGAATGATCAGTGAAGAGCAATTCATCAAGCAACTCGCGTTCTGAGAGGATAAAGAGAAACATGAAAGAAAACTGGCAAAAGAAGAAAAAAATGCCTATCCAGGTGACAATTACACTGAAACTGCTATTTCAGAACTCTGTAATATTTTTGTCTTTTTTGACTAACGACAATCGTATCCTTCAAAACAGAATAGTTTTAAAAATCACTTCATTTAGTTTTACGACACCAACGAATATAATTAAAGTCTGTTTTTCACCAAAGTAACACAAGCTCGTTTTTATACATCTTTTGGTTCTGGTTCATTTTGTATTCATTTTTAATTGAGGGGGATTTCGATTTTTGAAACATCCCAGACAAGAAAAGTTGTTTCCCCTCGTTTGTTTCCTCATTCAACATGAGCTTCTAGCTGCGGTTTAGCAGAGTGATGCTCATTCTACCCTCTATAGTGTCTGAGTGCAGATGCATCCCTTGTGTCAAAATTAAATTCATCTCTCTTATCACGTGCTCCTTTCTTCATCTTTCTCCAGAGTCACAAAAACATAGTGTCTGTAAAAACCAAACAATGGCTGTATGCAGATACAAATAAACAGTGTCACATTTTTATTAGCGGTACATCATATGTACAAGTGTAACTTAAACATTTTGAAAATTGTGCAAAAGGTTAACTTATTTTTTTAGAAATTGGCCCAAACTGAGTACTAAGTACCGATGTATGATTATACTTTTTCAGATATTGGACATTTCTCTATTTAAAGGTGTGGAACATTCATTTAACCAGTACATTTGAAGTGATCTCTAGTAGGAATGAATGCCTTGCAAGTGGTAGGGGGGGCAGCTGCTCAGATGCGCTTGTTTCAGAAGCAGCTTAACGCCTGGAACAAACCAGACGTGGAAGCGTCATGGAATGACGAGCGCTTCTAATCGGCACACTTGTTAACCTACACTCTCAGTAGGGATGGATACCGAATTCGGTACTTTTTAAGGTACCAACCGAATTCCAAAGTACCGACCGAGCACCGATTCACGTCATTTCAAACGGTGCCTCGTTTCGGTACCCGTCCATCATAACGAGAACTTGCCAAGACAGCTGCGCATGCGCAAGAGCGTTATGTTGTCGCTCGCTGCAAACCAGTTGTAAACAGAGCAGCATGGTAGAAAGAACACAGGCTAAAGCTTGAGTCCACTTCACTAAATGTGATGGGTATCTGGGTGATGATGAAACCAGCGACAACGATCTAAGTGAGACATCCTCATCTTAATCTGCTCCGTGCGTAGGTAAATATAATTAGCTTGATTTTGTTAGCTTCCGTTTCGCTAATGGTGTGTTCGCTTTCTCCTCGGAACTCCGAATTCCTGACTAGAAGAACATGAACGAGCTCTAAAGTTTGCTTCACTTTACTAAATGTGGCGGGTGAAGACAAAACCAGCGACAACGACAAGTGTGAGGCATCATCGTTTTAATCTGCTCCAGCAGCTAAAAAAAACAGTTTAAGATAATGTTAGCTTGGTATGTTAGCTTTGCTACTATTGTTATCAGCTAATGGTGCGTTTGCTTTCTCCTCGGAAATTCTAACTTCGCAGTAGGAAAAATCAAATGAAAAAGGACGGCAAAAGGAATGAAGATACAAAGTAAATTTAGTTCACAGTAAAGATGTTTGCCTCAGTTTAATTATCAGCTTATAAAACTACAAGGACGACGTTAAAATACAAACAGTTGAATGTTATTTATCGTGATATTAATCAAATATTGTTATATATCGGGAAAAATATATATTTAATTATAAAAGAGAATTAAAATAATAAACACTCAAAAGTATCAAAAATTGGTACCGTTAAGTACCGGTATCAAGTCATAGGTACCGGGAATTAGTACCGGATCGATTCAAATGTCAAAGGTACCCATCCCTAGCGCCGCAAATCGCCATGAAGGCTCGCGCAGTGCAGCGGTCATTTCAGCGTGAGCTCTAATTTTTTGTTAGCCATGAGTGAGCCGCGTCAATTCTGGAAGGAAGTCACACCAAAGTAGAAGAGGCAGGCGGATAAATTTCACAAAATAAAAGAAAATTTTCAAAATAAAACACCATGATTGTTAATTTTGATATTTTTGTGTATCTAAACAGACTAGAGAGATGAAAATAAACACACATACACTCCTGCAGAGAAATACAGCATTTTCTTGATTTTAAATGCAGTTTTTACAGCAAAAGATAGATTTAATAAATGTGAATACAAATA